ATAGTCATGTATATAGAGATTAGAAATGCATGTGAATACATCTCAATGTCAATAGCCTTGGAATGAATTTTTCTGTATGAAACTGTGTGTTTTGACAACGAAGTGGAGATCTTTTTTAAATGTTGGAACCTCATTTAATTTTATGTCTTATAGAGTTTATAATGAGTAAAAGATTATATAAGTGTAATAATTCATCTGTAAACATAGAAATGTACAGCCAATTTTGAAAGAGATGTACCCTAGCTCAGAAAAAGTTATTGAATAGGTTAATGCTGTTGTAATGAAATGCTTCTTTTAATTAAAATTGAAAAAAAGATTAGATTCTTCTGGACTTGATCTGGAAAGCATGGCACCAAAATTAGCCAAGTTTTCAACAATCCATTCTTGTTAATTTCCCTACTATGGATTCCATATTCTCAGCCACTGAGTGAATTATACAACTGCTTTTACAAAAGACTATTTTATTTTTGATAATGTAATACTTTTATTCAGTGAGAATGTCATAGAGGCATACAATGTATTTTGATCATATTCATCCTTAATTTAGTTTTCATTGCTAAAGACATTTTTTCATGTTCTTTGCTAACCTGTGGAACTTAAATTCTTTTTTCAATAATCCTAATAATTTCTTGTTTTTTATACATTAATTGATGAAGAAAAAAACCTCAAAACATGAAGAAAAAGAAACCAATAACAAGACTATTTGAAAATATTTCTGCCATTTGATCAATGGCAATCCTCTGATTAGGAAGGAGGAATTTCAAAGCGGTACATGGCTATATTCAGAGGTTATAGTGAAACTGAGCAGCCAATGCTAATAGGAAGCTGCATGTTGCCAAGTTAAAAGAGGTAAAATTCTTGGTTGCTAAACTATTTCGTGCTGTGATATAGATAAATGCACGGTTTCATTATGCTTTGTACCTGCTGAAATGCCGGTATCCCATCTTCCATTAGCTCTACACTGAGAAAAAAGCATGGAAGTATTCCCATATTAAAGTCAGTAGGCTTATTACTCATATGGATTCACCAGAAGCTGCTGAGATTGGTGGTGTTACCCTTGCCTTGTGGGGAAGGAATCCTTAGTCCACTAACGTTTAGGTCATGAAACCACAGAGCGGTGGGTTCGGGAAGTCCACACAGGCTTACTTTGCTCTAATTTTTGTAATCTGAACTATTCCTGAAATTAGAGATTTGAAAAAAAAAAAAAGGTTCTTATGAAATAGTGTCTGTGCTTTGAGAGTCACTCTATGAAATTGGAAAGGTATCGGGACTTAGGGAATCAAACTTGAAGTGACAAGTTCTCCAGCCAGCCCCCTCCTCAGATGCCTTAGGCTCTCACAGTGAGGTGAAGGGTGCAGTCCCACTTAGGTGTTTTCCAGTAGTCTGTGTGCTTCTCCTCCTCCTCTTAATCATCTGTGCTGTTTTATCCTTGCACAGGCCCAGTTGGAAGGAAAGAGAGATGTTGTTATCAAGAAGAACGAGGACGTGTCGTCGGATCGCTGCTCAGCCTTGCTGCAGGATATTTTTGCTCCTCTGGAAGAAGAAGTGAAGCAGGGGGCATTTTCTAAACCAGGGGGTTACTATGTCTTTCTTCAGAAGAAACAGGAACTGGAGAACAAGTATAAGCAGGCTCCTGGAAAGGGGGTACAGGTAAGCTATGTAGTTAGTACCACTCCTAGGGACTTGCTGGGGAGTCTTTCAAATGCCACTGGGAAGAAGGAAGGTGGCTGTGAGGATGGTGGACAGTGCCATTGTCTCACCCTGGTCCAGGCAGAGAACCAACCATGAGATGTACAGCAGCTTCCTTCTTGGAAGCACAAGTGGACTCAGAATTTATTCATCTGGTCATCCAACAATGGTTCACTTTCTCTGTGTGTCAAGTACTTCTCTGGTTGCTGTAGACAAAAAGAATTTTTTTAAGAAAGGAAAAACTAGGTAAAGGCATGTTCCTTCAGAGTACTTACAAGAATTTAGCAATTCTAAGCTTGTTGACAAATAATTATAGTGGCAAAGAACCAACCATGAGATGTACAGCAGCTTCCTTCTTGGAAGCACAAGTGGACTCAGAATTTATTCATCTGGTCATCCAACAATGGTTCACTTTCTCTGTGTGTCAAGTACTTCTCTGGTTGCTGTAGACAAAAGGAATTTTTTTAAGAAAAGAAAAACTAGGTAAAGGCATGTTTCTTCAGAGTACTTACAAGAATTTAGCAATTCTAAGCTTGACAAATAATTATAGTGGCAATGGCAGTTATCACTTAGATTGCCCTCACCATGCTCTATAAGTTCATTCACTGAGTTCTCACATCAACACTATAAAGTGTGCATCATTAATATGCCCATAAAAGCAAAGGAAATTGGGGCAGAGGGCAGTACAAGGACTCTCCTAAGATGATACAGGTATTGAGCATTAAGACTTGCATGGAAGCCGGGCATGATGGCGCACGCCTGTAGTCCCAGTGAGTTCCAGGATAGCTGAGGCTACGGGGAGACCCTGCTTCAAAAAGACAACACCACCAACAAAAAAAGACTTGTGTGGAACTCCAGCTAACATCATCTGTGTCTTCCTGTTCTAGACTTCTCTACTACAGTAATAGGTGTTAGGACTAGGTCTGATTATATAGTATTCAAAAATAGCAATGTGTTTAAAATGGCTAAATGCTATTTCTTCTGAGCGAATAAGTCAGGGAGAATGAACCCATTGTGCTATGGTGGCTCAACCATCATCTTGTTCTGAGGGCTCCTCTTTGTCCATCCCCAGAACCTTAGTCCATGGACCCCATCTTCAGGCTGACTCTGTGCTCGATGACAGCTACTAAAGATTCAGCCCCTATTTCAATTTTATAGCTTGTAAAAAAGGAGAGGAGAAAAGAAAGGCAAAAGGATTGTACGTCAACTCCCTTTAAAGTTTCTAAGATATACCACATTACCTGTCTCTCTCAAGAACTTAGTCACCTATGTATATTCTAGCCTTACAAAAGATATGCACACAAAACAACATTTTACCATGTTGATATCAGATAAGGTAAAGATTCTTCAAAGAATTTAGACAGAAAGAAAAATGGCTATGTAAGGAATGAAATTTTGGACAACAGAAAATAGCTCATAAGAGTAAACTGATGCATATTTCAGGGATAGCAAGAGAATTGATGCTCTTGGAGGTGGTGGGCAGAGAAACGGCCAGCAAAAGACAATCACAGGGCAGATGCCAGATAAGGGACTGTCTTGGTGGACACTGAAAAAAAGACTTGATATTCATTTGGATGAGTTAGAAAGTCAGTAAAGATCGTTGAGTAAAAGCATTATATGACCTTTCTTAAAATAACATGGCAAAATTCTGGCTTCTATTCATCTCCAAAAATGCCCCTGTAGTGGGTGTCTGTAGGTCTTCATATACTTGTGTAGTCCTACCTTTGAATCTCAGTGGGCTTGTGAGTCTCTGGACCAAACAAATCAGCAGATGTGACATTGAATGACACTGGATCAAGGTTCCTGTGGCCTCACTGGAGGGCATTGCCCTGGAAGACCAAATCATATTTCTGACAGGCATGCCCCCAAGCTAGGTGGGGTGGAGGCCCTGACCACTGTAGAAGTGGCTAGCCTAACATGCTGGGAGGGAAAGTCTGTGGTTCCCTAGCTGGAAAAGTGAGAGATGAAACACTGGAGGAGGAAGGGGAAGAGGAGGAGGAGGAGGAAGAGGAGGAGGAGGAGAACAAGTTACTGAAAAAGTTAAGAGAATTAGAAAAGATCATATCTAAGGGAGAAATCCCCAGGCCAATGTTAGGTCTGTTAAACTTGAAATGCTGTTTGAATTGTTACATAGCTGACAACATTAATTTGAAATAAAAACATAAAAAACATATTGCATGGTTTGCCTTCAACTTACGCTATACATCTAGGCAGAAGAGATGCTAAAGAAGTACTTCGAGTCCAAGGAGGATGTGGCTGCTACACTGCTAAAGACTGATCAGTCCCTCACAGAACAGGAAAAGCAGATTGAAGGTGAGAACAGCTGCAAGCACTCCGGATGCGGTACTGCTCTTGCTTGACATCTTGTTTAGCAATGTTGGTCGATACAGTGTCATCACTGCAGAGAAGGAACCCCAAGTGCCATTCTTAGTTTCTTGCTAGTTTTTTCTTAACTGCTATGTGTAGCCATCTCTCTGTTTGCTAAGAGGTTATCCCATGCAAAAATTGCCATGGGAACTTTTCTCAATGATGTGAGAATTTTTAAAGGTGGATAAAAGGCAACAGTAGTTCGCAGAATTTAATCTTGCATTCTTGCTTTTCGTACTCAGTGGAACGGATAAAAGTTGAAGCTGCAGAAGCTATGAATAGAGAGTTGCAAGAAATGCAAAAGAAAACTGAGCTGCTGATGGAACAGAAAGAGAAGAGTTACCAGGAGCACGTGAGACAGATGACCGAGAAGATGGAGCAGGAAAGGGAACAGTTAATGGCTGAGAATAATAAAACCATATCTCTTAAACTGAAGGTATTTGATCACATCATCTCAATAAGTTCCTGGGTCCCAGTAAAACCAAAAGTTTGTCAGAAGACTGAACCCACACCACACATACACCAAGAAAAGGTGTTCAGGCCTCCGAAAGTAGAGTGAGCCAGCCAGGTGCTCTGTTAGTTTTCATTCCTTTTGCCACTTTTATCCCTGACCACTTCTAGTTATTAAAGTCTGTTTATTACTGGATGAAACTCTTTATGAGGCTATCAATAAACAGTGGCCATGAATTGCTAGGTACTGCTTTCTCGTGTTTTCTACTTATTCTCATTTAACACCTCAGGAACCATGATTTTGTTTCATGCGAGATCAGAAAAATTGCACTTT